TATATATATGTGAAAAATTAAACAGTGATGTATATAGAATGTCAACGCATGCTGGCTTTATCCTTAATTTCTACTCCAACCATATTTACAAAACATTGTTTGACGTTTAAAAATATATGACTATCCGGAGCATAAGACTAGCCGACAGAGACCATTGTGATACTGAACTGGATCGGCTCAAACTAATATCTCTTGAAAATAATTACCCCTAGGTTTGACTAAAAATAACATTAGATTGATAAAGAGTACCTTTTTAAATGGTGAATTCGTTAAAGATACGGGGGGCATTTCCCATGTTTTGTCCTTGCCTTCGTGCATTCTCTAAAAGAATAGGCGAACTAGTAAGGAAGTGGTTCTCAGGAAGCTACGACAATTTCTTCAGTTTTGTCCTGAGAAATTCGACCCATTATCCAGATAGGTTTGCTATAAAAGAATATATTCATGTGATTGCTTTTATGTTATAGAAACTTGTCCAACACGACAAGTGTTGGCTGAGCGCAAAAGAGCCTGCAGAAGCCGTTGGGCTCGAAAATCAGTGATGGCTGAGCACAAGGCAGAAACTAGACACGAGATTGAGGGTCTCAAATATCTCGTTTTGCTGATTATGGTATGTCTGCGGCTAGGCGTAAAATTAGTGAAGCCATCGTAATAAGCCAAATAGGCAATACATTGAATATAAGAAATAATGACACGAAGTTAAGTAAAAACTTCTTTACTTAATAGACTCGATTATTGAGAGTGTGTTGAGCCGCTTGAAAAATGAGGTGACTCAACTAGCCTATCCTTGTCTTGGCTGTAATCACGGCCACTTCTCTGTACTTTAAACTCACTCTTTCTCTTACATGAAGATAAAAAAAGCTCATGAACAGAACCTGACATGTGTCCGGACTTGCGCAATCGGATTGATGGTTAAAACATATATATATAGAGAGAGAGAGAGTGGGGTGGTATTAATCAAACCTTGATAGCCGATAATAGACGTTACTTCTGCTATCCTTATTACTTTTAGCCATCATTGCCGGTTTTGTACATATGTAAACACATACAGAGACAGGCATGTTCGCATGATCCGATGATGATATATGACTAAGGGGATTACCTCGGAAACAGCATTCCAGTAAAGCCAATCGACAGCTGGTCAAAAGGAATCCGCCGTTGTATTCTGGTGAGATGGAACTTCGAATCTTTTCACCAAACACTCACTCGAAATGCAAGTAAGCTCAGCATTTACGAAACAAGGGATTTCACGAAACCCTACTTTTTTCGCATAAAGATTTTATACTTGATCTGTTCGCGGTTTATTTCGCACTAAAGAATTGGTTTTACTTTGTTTTCGCAACCTAATTGGTGTAATGTCTAATTAATATTTTCTCGATCCTTAATAATTTGCTCGTCCAGCACCAAGTCATGGACCAGATGCACTTTAAAGCGTTTCTCCATCGTCTTTGACTTCTTCCCTTCATCAAATTACAATTGGCCATAGGCCCAAGTTAAACCATTGACACTAGTTCACTTTTATGAAATGTTGTTTTCACCTTACATTCAACTTAAACCTAATTTCTATAAGAATCCCAGGTTTATATCTATTTATAAAGCTGCATTTAATTTTTTTCATTACTATTCAGTCATAATCCGACTATCTTGATTAACTTTTGTTCTCTTCTCTAAACCGTATATTTAAGTATATATATTGATGCTAACGAAAGCACTAACTAACTCGCTTGGGCACAGAAGCCTGAACAACTGGTCTGTACATCAATTGTCTTATAGTCATTTTTAACGGCTTTTTTCTTGTTATTTTACCTATTACATCTTGTTTGGTAATAATTACTTGTGCACATTATGGCCTACACGCTTTTTCCATAAATCATGGTAGTCTAATGTGCCACTTTTTTGTTCACTTTCCCCTTCTTTTTCATTCATCTCTCTTTGATCATAAGATGCCGCCATAGGTGTATTGCTACTTTCCGAACGGCTAATATGCCTTTTTCTTAGCAGGGTTCTTAGCCTATCACTGTCTGTCTTTTGCCACTTATTTACCAGTCCATGAAGACGCCTCGCATTAGGTGATTTTAGCATTTATTCTTGCTTAAAAAATCCAAAAAATTACATGTTCGGCCAACTATAATCTTAATTGAGATTCTCTTAACGCTTACATTTTCCAACATTTATGTTTTAGTCACTAGTGCTCACTATGAGCCCGGGAATGAAATGAGTGTGTTTACCTTTGTTTGTATGAAGTAGTATTTCCTTTCATTGCACTCCATGCGAGGAAATTGAGCACACTGATTTTGATAATCCAAGTTTGCTTACGCCTCATTTTCTATATAAGCCCATTAAACTCTTAATTTCAGTAAAATTATCCCTTCATATATTGGTTATTAGCTCATTAATCCATCCAAGGATATCTTTTTATCTATTTTTCAACAATTGCTGCAATAGTAGATATTCTATATGCCTAATCACTATCTTAAATATAGTTATTGTTATGCTATTAAATGTAGCTTTAGATTTTCTTGCACAATATAATTATTGGGCATACTCCTGAAGCGCGCATTTACAACATCCTATTCTTTAGGTGGTGCTACTGGGCCTCTACAACGGTCAGGGGCTCGACCTCTCTTCGCCCGACTGTTATCTACTTCTGCGCACCACTCCTGGAATAGAATACATCAAATGTGTGATGAAAGCAGGTCGGATGCAAGGGGCTCTTTTGGTGGGAGATACTGACCTAGATGAGACTTTAGAGAACTTGATC